GTGACTGCCTTCGTCTCGGGTCATGATCTCAGGGTCCTGGGATCGAGGCCTGCATCGGGTTCCCTGCTCAGCAGGAAGCCTGTTTCTCCCTCTCCCGCTCCCCCTGCTTGTGTTCCCTCTCTCGCTGTGTCTGTTTCTGTCAAATAAATAAATAAAATCTTTAATTAAAAAAAAGAATTATGCTAAATCTACTGTCTCTGCTCTAGAAATGGTACAACAAAGCCTAGATAACAGCACATCTGTTTACAACATGGTTTACTGACTATTTTAAGCCCACTCTTAAGACTACTGCTCAGGAAAAAAAAATGTCTTTTAATATGACTGCTCATTGACAATGTACCTGGTCACCCAAGATCTCTGATGGAGATGGACAATGAGATTAATGTTGTTTTCATGCCTGCTAACACAAATCCATTCTGCAGTCCATGGATCAAAGAGTCATTTCTACTTTCAAGTCTTATTATTTAAGAAATACACTTCATAAAAAAAAGAGATACATTTCATAAAGCTGTAGTTCTCATAGACAGTGATTCTTCTGATGGATCTGGGCAAAGTGGAGCCTGAAGATGTAACTGAATTGCTGTCATCTCATTATAAAAACTTTTTTTAAAGAATGTGATTTGTTGGGTGCCTGGGTGGCTCAGTTGGTTAACTGTCTGCCTTCAGCTCAGGTCATGATCTCAGGGTCCTGGGATCAAGTCCCACATAAGGCTCTCTGTTCTCTGTTCCATGGGGCATCTGCTTCTCCCTCTACCCCTCTCCCCTGCTTGTGCTCTCTCTCTCTCAAACAAATAAATAAAATCTTTTTTTAAAAAAGAATGTGATTGGCGCCTGGGTGGCTCATTTGGTTAAGCGACTGCCTTCGGCTCAGGTCATGATCCTGGAGTCCCGGGATTGAGTCCCGCATCGGACTCCCTGCTCAGCAGGGAGTCTGCTTCTCCCTCTGACCCTCCCCCCCTCATGTGCTCTCTCTCTCTCTCTCAAATAAATAAATAAAATCTTAAAAAAAAAAAAAAAACGTGATTTGTTTTATGTGCTGGTTTATAAGGTCAATTGTTGAAATGCTGATGGTCTTTTCCTACAGAAACTATTTGACAAATGATTGTTAGGTTTTCAGGCTAGCTCTCACATCTAATTATCCATGTATGTGAAGGATCCAAAGTCTTTCTGTGTTCCTGAATCCCCTTGATCTAAAGGAAGGCCAGGAAGGGATGGTTCCAGTTTCTTCTGGGTCTTTCCAGGGATCCCTTGCATATACAACCACATATGTATACGTCCTCACCCTTTCTCCTCTCCTTTTTCTTAACATAAAAATCAGATATACTACATACCATCCTTCACATTTGTTGACCCTTAACAAGATATGTTAGTGATTACTGCATATCAGTGCAATAGATCAACCATGTTCTTTTTAATAGCTCTATGGATATAATATGAATTACTTTTATTTAAAAATTAAAAGTTTATAAATATATACATAATTTCATTGTCTAAAGTAAATTTAAAATTTCCTTTTTTCATCATAAAAGCAGTTAGTAACAACAATCACCACAAAAGGCAAATCAAGAAGTGAAAAAAATTATCCACAGTGTCACTAAAACTATGTTGGTATAGTTCTTTCAAGACAATATTCTTAAAGTCTGGTGGATGGAGTGTTTATACCACAATCATCAAACATGCTGTCAAATAGGCAGATTCTAGGGCACCGTCCCACACTTATTAAATCAGAAATTCTGGGGCATCTGGGTGTTCAGACGGTTAAGTGTCTGCCTTCGGCTCAGGTCATAATCTCCAGGTCATGGGATCAAGCCCCACATCGGGCTCCCAGCTCAGCAAGGAGTCTGCTTCTCCCTCTACCCATCCCCTCACTCATGCTCTCTCTCTCTCTCAAATAAATAAAATCTTAAAAAAAAAAAAAAAAGAAATTCTGAGTATGGGGCCTTAGCCTTACAAGATTTATAACTGAAGTTTGACAACCATTACTTGAAGGCCCTTTTCTCTACCTTAAAAAAAAGTTTTACAAAGAAAAAAAAGAGACAAACAAGAAACCAAATTCTTAAAAAGAGAGAACAAACTGGTGGTTCCCAGAAAGGAGGTGGGTGGGGGATGGGTGAAATAGGTGAAGGGGATTAAGAGGACACATATCGTGAATCAGCACTGAGTAATGTACAGAGTTGTTGATATATTGTACACCTGAAACTAACATAACACTGTATGTTAACTATACTGGAATTAAATTTTTTAATTTTAAAAATTAAAAAAAAGTTGTAGTTATAGTTTACATGCATTACTGTATTCCCACTCTTTTTTTTTAAGGGTTATTTATTTGAGAGAGAAGGAGAGAAAGCGCGAGCGAGCGCACACACATGAGGGGCAGAGGGAGAGGCAGAATATCTCAGGCAGACTCTGCGCGCAGCACAAAGCCCCCCACGGAACTTGATTCATGACCCTGAGATCATGATCTGAGCTGAAACCAAGAGTCAGATGTCTAACTGGCTGAGCCACCCAGGCACCCCCCAACTTTTTTCAATTTGTAAAGCTAATGTTTTATGATAAGCATCTTTCCATGTTACTAAATTGTCTTCACTATCATCATTTTAAGGGCCCACATAAATACTCCATTGAATAAGCACTTCTTAATTTACTTATTTTTTCATTTTTTGTTAGACATTTAGAATCATTCAAATTTCACCTTCACAATTCTTTTTTCACTAGGTGCCCACCTAATACAACTTTACTTTCATTTAAGCCATGTTTATTGAAGCCCAACAAGTCCAAGTCTCACTAGGGACAACTAAGATGAGGAATTCAAGACTCTAGACCTGTTGAGTTTAAAATCTAGTATAGACAGTTTACAATCTAGAAACAATCAGCCAAAGTTCTCTTTAATTTGTTGGTCTTGGTAGGGGGTTGAGTTTTAATACCTCTAAGATAGTTACTCTTTTTTTTTTTTTTTAAAGATTTTATTTATTTATTCATGAGAGATAGAGAGAAAGGCAGAGGGAGAAGCAGGCTCCCCGCAGAGCGGGGAGCCCGATGCGGGACTCGATCCCAGGACCCTGGGATCATGACCTGAGCTGAAGGCAGACGCTTAACCGAATGAGCCACCCAGGCGTCCCTAAGATAGCTACTCTTATGATTTCTATTTTACAAATGAAGAAACTGAAGCTTAGGGTGATCAAGCAGCTTGCCCAGCATCACAAAGTGGAAGAACTGAGATTTGTACCTGAACAGTATGATTCTAAGGCAGAGATCAGCAAACTTTTTCTATAAAGGGCCAGACGGTATGTATTTTAGGCTCTGGGATCAAATGGTCACTGATGCAAGTATTCAACTCTGCTATTACAGAGTAAAAGTACCCAACAATACTTTTATGAATGGGCATGGCTATCTTCCAATGAAATTTACTTGCAAAAACAAGCTCCTGCTCTAAGGCATATATTTTTACCTCCATGCTATTATGCTGTTTCATCCAGCCAGTCTGATATATTGAGCATGCTAGGTACATACAAGGTGGTGAAATTTATAAAATGAGTCTGCTCTCAAAAAGTTTGAAGATGAGAAAAAGATAATATGACTTTGAGTAAGACATTTAACCTCTGTCAATGACTCAATTTTAAAGCTACAAATATTGTTAAATAATATTTTCCCTTATACAATATGGATGTTGTGAAAATTAATGAGACAGTTTATATATATTATCATTTACTCGGCTGTCATTTCTTTTTTTTTTTTTTTTTGCTTTTTAAAAAATTTTATTATGTTAATCACCATACATTACACCATTAGTTTTTGATGATAGTGTTCCATGACTCATTGTTTGCGTATAACACCCAGTGCTCCATTCAGTACGTGCCCTCTTTAATGTCACTTTTTAATGTTAAACTGATGCTTGGTCTTTATCAGTCCCAAAGGAGATGAGTAAATAAATCAATCTGTTCTTTGCTCACATAGGAATCCCTGTATGTTAATAACTAGAAAATTTTATCTGATTTAATTGCCACATACTTTATTTTTATAAAGCACTTTTAAAACTTAGGTGGCTCAGTTGGTTGGGTGTCTGCCTTCGGCTCAGGTTACAGTCTCAGGGTCCTGGGATCCAGCTCCAAGTCGGGTTCCCTGCTCAGTGGGGAGTCTGCTTCTCCCTCTCCCTCTGCTCCTCCCGTCCCCCCACTCGTGCTATCTTTCTCAAATAAATAAATGAAAATAAAATAAAATAAAATTTATGTTACATTACATTTTCTCTTGGGGCCAAAGAACTTTTATATTTTCATTTTTTTAACATGATGGGAAAGAAAAAAATCTGTATAATTCAGAAACACTGCACTATGCCCTCAGCAAATTACACATCCACAGTATCTTCCTGTTATTTAGGTTTTCTGAGTTATAAAAATTCTCTGAGTGTATCTCATGGGCATTTTGACACTCATGGAGCGTCTGTAAAAAAACAGGCAGGAAGAATCAGACATTTACTTTTAGGGAGTAAAGAAGATAATTTTTAAATCGTTCAAACAATTATACACTCAAAAATAAAAAGGAATGAACTCCTGCTACATGTAACAACAGGGATAAATCTCAAAAGCATTATGCTGAGTGAAAGAAGTACAAAAGGCTAGGTCCTATATGATTCCATTTCTATGACATTTAGGAAAGGGCAAAACTACAGGGACATATTTCTTTTCAGTGGTTGCCAGGGGCTGAGACCAGGAGGAAGGGATGTGAGGGAACTCTTTGGAGTGATGGAAATGTCCTATACTTTGACTGTGGTATGGTCAACATGACTATACACAGGCCCAAACTGTACCTCAAAAAGGGTAATGTTTACTGTATGTAAATTAGACCTCAATAAGCCTGTCCAAACTGTTATAGAGCATTCCTCAAGCAAAGACAAATAGGACTAAGAGCTTGCAATAAATTGCCGATCAGGCTAAGTTCTGAATGGGAGCTTATATTGTGATTTGGGTCAAATGCACTCCATTTGATTACTCTCGAAGACATACCCGGTGAGAACTTCAGGGCAGGGCTGGTCTCTGAAAAGTGGGAGGAAAGAGAACATAAGTCAGGCAGTTGGAATGTCTGGACCCAGATGGCAGTGTCTGGCCATTCTTCACAAACTCCTGAGAGGTTCTTGTTTCACTGTGTGAAGGAAGTTTAGGTAAAATACATCCCTTTCTGCTACATTCAGTCTGACCCGTATCTTTGCCTCAAACTGCCTGGGAAAATAGAACGTGCCCACTGCTGACACTGTAACTTAGGTTATGTATTACTGCATTCAGAAATGTTTCTAGAGGGGCGCTTGGGTGGCTCAGTCGTTAAGTGTCTGTCTTCAACTCAGGTCATGATTCCAAGTCCTGGGACTGAGCCCCGCATCGGGCTCCCTGCTCGGCGGGAGGCCTGCTTCTCCCTCTCCCACTCCCCCGGCTTGTGTTCCCTCTCTCGCTGTGTCTCTCTCTGTCAAATAAATAAATAAAATCTTTAAAAAAAAAAAAGAAAGAAATGTTTCTAGAGCCAGCATTTCAAGAACATCCACTGGGAGTCTACCATCTGCTGGGCAGTGACAGAGCAGCTCACAGGAGCCAGATGCCTCCTCTCCTGGAGCTTACATTCCAAAGGATGGCTAACAGCTCACAGTTATCGAGTGCTTACAATACGCTAGCTGCTATGTGGGCCAACTCATTTAACTCGTACAGCTACCGAGGTGGGCAAACGCTATTACTATCATTCCCGTTTACAGGTGAGGAGACGGAAGCCCTGAGTTAAGTAAGCACACATAGGTCCAAGGATGGCTAGTAAGCAGCAGAACCGGGCTTAAGCCCAGGCCAACCTGCTCCGTCGTCCGTGCTCTTAGCTACAGTCTCCCTACACTGCAGGTCAGCACAAAGGTTGTACTTACATAGTCCCAGAAAATCAGTACTAGAGGCCTAGGAAATGACTTTAACATTAAAGAAAGCTATCCCATTTATATAGAAACAGTGTTACTTCATGATATAAGGTTAAGCAACATTAATAATTTTTTTTCAAAAAGAAATACAAATTAAGATACATACAGAAAAACGTTTACCTTATAATCAAAGAAATAAAACAAAATGAGATTTAACATTTTGCTTATTAAATTAGCAAGCAAAGAATTCAGATGGAGACTGCAAAGACTAATGCATTGTTAATGGAAATGTAAATTAATACAGTTTGAAAGGCAGTTTGCATTCTGAGCCACAAAATACTTATTTCTTTTAACCTAGTTTTTCCATTTATAGGACTTTATCTTGGGGTACCTGGGTGGCTCAGTCGGCTAAGTGGTTGCCTTCGATTTTTTTTTTTTTTTTTTTTTGCGAGAGCGAATGAGAGACAGAGAGCACGAGAGGGAAGAGGGCAGAGGGAGAAGCAGACCCCCTGCTGAGCAGGGAGCCCGATGTGGGACTCGATCCCGGGACTCCAGGATCATGACCTGAGCCGAAGGCAGTCGCCTAACCAACTGAGCCACCCAGGCGCCCTAAGTGGTTGCCTTCGGCTCAGGTCATGATCTCAGGGTTCTGGGATTGAGGCCCAGGTTGTCAGGCTCCCAGCTCAGCAGGGAGTCTTCTTCTCTCCCCTCCCCCCTACATATTCTCTCTCAAATAAATAAATAAAAATTTTTAAAAAATACATGACTTTATCTTTAGGAAATAATCTAACATACGGAAAAAAGTTATGTGCAGCAAAGATCTTTGTTGCAGCAAGCGATACAGATTTATAACAATATTCATTATTTATACAGTTCGGTATATAAACAATTTAAAAATCCAAGCTTAAAAATAAAAATTAAAATAAAACCTACACACCTCTGATCCAAATTTGTCCTTTTCAACAAAGCAGGTGTTTGTAGTCTCACCTCCTCTGGTTAGGCTGTGGTTAACATCAGCTAAAAGAACACATAAGCAGAAGTGTGCCAAATCACAAAATAGTTATCAAGATTTTATTTTATTTTTTTAAAGATTTTATTTATATATTTGTCAGAGAGAGAACACAAGCAGGGGGAGCAGCAGAGGCAGAGGGAGAAGCTGGCTCCCCGCTGAGCAGGGAGCCCAACGTGGGACTCGATCCCAGGACCCTGGGATCATGACCTGAGCCGAAGGCAGCCGCTTAACCGACTGAGCCACTCAGGCGTCCCAGGTATCAAGATTTTAAAAAGGAAGAGATATCATTTGCCAGTATGAGGAGTCTGGTGGACATATGTAACAGTATCAGGCCCCAAATTACATCAATCTGTGGGACTCTTTCTTTTTTCTCATCTCCAAATGCCAGAAGAGAATAGAGTTTTTTCTTTCCACAGTCCCTCCTAATTTTACACATTGCCAAAACATGTAAATTTATGCAAAAGCAAAATGCTATTTTAGTACTTCCTGACGGAATCACTTTTATTGTTATCTTCCTATAAAAACAAACATCTCACACTGAGTTACCCCTACAAATCCAAAGACTGAGAACTAATTATTACAATTACCAGGGATAATGAACATTTTTCAGCTAATTATTTTCCTTACAGACATTAATGGTTTTTTTTTTAAACTACAGATCTTATCTAGGATGAGGAATATCTCTGTGGTTTTCTTACCCTATCCAGACCCCCCAGATAAAGCTTTTGTCTGGAGTCCTCTATGTCTCCCTCCTGCTCTAGTGCACATCTTCAGGAGAAAAGGGAATGAGAAAATACTTGCTGGTATGCTGGTCTACCTTACAAACTGCAGGAGGTTCAAAGGACAGGAGTACATGGGGCAGAGGGTACTGAGAGTGAAGCAGGACAGGTAGGCAAAGGTGAACACACTAAAACTCATTCTGCATGTATGCACATCAAATCATTTTATTTTTACAAATCAATTTATGCCTGCTTGAGAAAAGCAGGCATAATTGTCCTCATTTTACTGGTAAAGAAATTGAGGTTTTCAAGGTTTAAGCAGCTTGCCCAAAGTCACTTAGCTGCCAAGGGGCAAAAGCAGAATTCAAACCTGGTTTCAGCGCAGTCACTTTAAGCTGGTGTCCTTAATTATCTGTCATGCAGCACCTGTCTTCTGCAGAAGGAGGATATGTCTTCTGCAGAATCTGTTCATATTAACATGAACTTTATAAGTAGCTTGCTTTAAAAAAGCAGGTAGCAAAATAGTATGAAACCTCACCCTATTCAAACTACGGGATGTTTAAAATATCAAAATATGGGAGTGACTTAGGTATGAGTTCTCTGGTATGGCTATTTTTGCTAGATTTTTTATAAGTGAAAGTTATTTTAATATTTTAATATTTTTTAAATCAAGGATAAGAGGCGAGATACTATGTCCCCAGCAGGCTGGAGGAGAGGCTACTGGAACTAGTTAGCACTGGTGATGACTGCATTTGCACAATGTGACCAAGGCTTAGAAAGATTTTGCCCAGCTTTCCTAAACAGATTCTCCCTCAAGAAACAGGAGAAAATGTACTAGAGATACAGAAATAAGTGCTAGGACTTTTTTTTCTCCTCTGTGGATACTAATGATAACTTTTTCTTCCTTTTCATGATAACTTTAAACCAGAACCTTTTTTTTTTTTAAGATTTCTTTATTTTAGAGAGAGTGCGAGTGGGGGGAGGGCAGAGGGAGAGAGAATCTCAAGCTGACTCCCTGCTGAGTGAGGAGCCGGATGGGATGCGGGGCTCCATCTCACAACCCCAAGATCACGACTGGAGCTGAAATTGAGAGTAAGACGCTCAGCTGACTGGGCCACCCAGGCGCCCCTATGCCAGGACTTTAAGAGTGATTACCTTCCCCAGGGGGTGAGCTATTACAACAGTATAGAGTAGTAACTGCTCTCCCATCACATACAGCATGTAACCACTTCTGCATAAGGCAGGTGGGAAATGTTCCACAAAGAAAATGTCTTTGTGGGGCGGGTGGCTCATTCATTAAGCGTCTGCCTTTGGCTCAGGTCATGACCCTGCGATCCTGGGATCCAGTCCCGCATTGGGCTCCCTGCTCCACTGGAAGCCTGCTTCTCCCTCTCTCACTCCCCCTGCTGTGTTCCCGCTCTTGCTGTGTCCCTATCAGATAAATACATAAAATCTTTAAAAAAAAGAAAAAGAAAAGAAAATGACTTTGGAGTGAATATGAAGAAAGAGTCAGTTAGCTGGGGAAGCAAGAAAAGAGTAGAGAAAAGAGCATTTAAAGGTTCAGAGGAGTGAGAGCACAAGCTTGTGTTTCTCTGGAGTTGAAATAACAATACTGAAAAAGAAGTTGTGTGCTAGGATCTGTCCTGGAATAGTTCTCCAGCTTCCATCAATATGCAAAATTAGAATTCAGACAGAATCCTTAAAGTGTTGATTGATGGTGGTGCCAGTTAAGAGACATCACCCTGATGGATGTGGCAGTTTGCTGTCACCTTTTGATATACATTCTTCTCTCTCCATGTTGACATATCACACAGGTGATAGCCAGCCATAAAGATAAGGTATTATTTTCACCTAAAACAAATATCAAGTAGACAAGTTGTGGGTCTTAAGCAGAGATTTATCATCTTCTACAAAATACTAATGAAATAGTTGCCAACTGAGCTGAAATGATTATAGCTCCCCAAAATGTCCTTTCCTGAGAGAAACAAGCAGAATGCGAACAAGGTCTACCTTTATCCAAGAAGGCAAGAGCTGGATGATCTTTGTTCTCTCCTTCGAAGGAGTTATAAAAGACATCAATTTATTTATAGGATTTTCTATAAGGACCAAGAGACTTTCAGGCAAAAGCTCTATTTTCGCAAATTGAAAGAACACAAAAACAGGCCACTCATTTTCAGAAGGCTATACTTGCATAATCCAAACATTTTAAAGAACATATTTATCCCATAGGAACAACAGAGAAACAGCATTTGGTATTTCTACTTGATCTGGGGAAAAGAGAGTATTTGGGGGTGCTCAGTTGGTCAAGCGTCTGCCTTCAGCTCAGGTCATGATCTCAGGGTCCTGGGACAGAGCCCCACATCTGGCTCCTTGTTCAGGAGGGAGCCTGCTTCTCCCTCTGCCTGACACTCCCCCTGCTTGTGCTCTCTCTCTCTGACAAATAAATAAATAAAATCTTTTAAAAGAGAGAGAGAGAGAGAGTATCTGTACTGTCAACAACCACATTTCGAGGCCTTTCTAGGAGTTGTTTTACAACTATAAGAATGCATGCATGCATGTGTATTTATTTACAATTTGCCTCATTCCATGGAAGTTTGGAATGGCTTTCAGCAAGTACATGTTGTAACTAAATAACAGTAAAATATTAATAGAAATTTTGAAGTCCAGACAGGGAAAACGTTAAGTGAGAGTAGAAATTCAAGACCACTGAAATGAAAGACACAAATATGCATGCCATAATTAAACTCTGAGTTAGACTTTAGGGCCCTGAGAGGTCAAAATGAAGAGAGAGGCACAATTAGTCCCATTATTCTCTTTAGTAGAAAGGAAAAGGCTTAGAACACCTCAGGAAAACAAAGTTTTCCCGGCCTTGAATTTTAAAAGGAAATGGAGCATTCTTTGGGGGGCACTAAATTGACACTGCCCTCAAAACTTCTATGTTAAATGCAATAACTGATTTCTTTCTTCCTCCCAATCATCCTTTGATTAAAAAAATATACACACACACACAAGAACAACAACAACAGGGTAGCATGTTAGTAACTTATTCTCAAACGGTTCAAGAAAGAAAATGTTATTTGTACTATACTTGCAATTTTTCTGTAAGTTTGATATTTTTTTAAAAAGCAATGAATTGCAATAATATATCTACATATCAGATTGTAAACATTAAAAGACTGACCAATAGCAAGTATTTGTGAAGGTATGAAGTATCATAAACCCCCATACAGAGCTGGAGAGGGTTAAGACTGGAACAATCATTTTAGAAAACATTTTAGAAAAAATCATATCCCCTATGACTCAGAGACTGCATTCCTACAGAATCTCCTAAATGTGAGTACCAAGATGGTCATGTGGCACTGTTTGTGAGAGTCAAAAACTGGAAAGAGATTAAATATTCATCATAGAACAGATGAATAAATTGTTTATGATATTTATATAGTGAAATATCATACAACAAAAATGAATGAATTAGAGCAACACTCATCAACAAGGATGGACTCGTATATAATGTTGAATCTGAAAGAAGCAAATACAGCCATTTAACAAAGTTCAAAATAGACTAAACCACATTGTTTAGGTGGTAAAAATTTAAGAAATGTAAGGAAATAACTGTCACAAAAGTCAAGACAGGGAAGGTGAGAGGGAATGGGTTATGGGGGGTGGGGAAGATGCACAGAGAGTGGGGGTGGTCTCTGGATGCTGGCAGTGTTCCATTTCTTGCCATCAGACTGGTGCTCATTTTATCATTATTTCTTAAAGTGTACATATATGATTTGTGTACGTTCTGAATATATATATTTCCCAATTTTAAAATTATTAAAAACAACTGTTTACATTTACTGAAAGATTACGATTTGCCAGCTACCATATTGAGCACATATACATGTTTTACCCTATTTAAACTTTCCCATCCTATGCGGCAGTACCATTATTATATTCTCCATTTTACGTATGTATAAACTGAAGCTTCCTAAATTATCTAACTTCTACACTAACAAATGGGGACATGACTTCATTCAGGCTCATGTGAAGCTTGCAAATTTAGCCATTAAACTGGGCTTTCAAGAATTGCTTTGATTTTTCTCTATTTTTCAATATATGTTATTAGAATTTGGGCTTCTTACGAGATTTCTCTATAAATTCCCATACTATTGGGGCACCTGGGTGGCTCAGTCGTTAGGCATCTGCCTTCAGCTCAGATCATGATCCCAGGGGCCTGGAATAGAGCCTGGCATCTGGCTCCCTGCTCAGCGAGAAGCCTGCTTCTCCCTCTCTCACTCCCC